ATTGTATCTTACCAAAGTTTTTTGGAAACTAACTGCACAACAGGCAGCACTATTAGTTCTCTCAGTCTCAGAGCAGCATTTCTAATTTTGATTGAAAGTGTCAGAGAAAACGGCAGCCTCGAGCAGCCAGGATATTAGTTTACAGAGGCTGTTAAAATTATATGTCTAACGTTAAAATGTTTGTCATACAATAATTTCATCCTAATGGTACTGACATATTCATAGGGTTAATTTTTTGACACAAAATATCATGAGGTAGTCATGATTTTGCAAATATTCCACCTTGTAGTGCAGTTTGCACGACAATTGTTAGGCTGCTGATGTAAATTGATTGATTAGTGTAGATTTGACAAATAATCTTAATTGACATGTCTCACTTTTTATATGGCACAAATCAATGTGTTATTTTATCAAGAGGCAATATGTCCTAGTGCAGTCAGAGGGGGAAATCCAGGGCCAAAGGTCAGGCATATCAAGCACATAATAATAATTTTGTGGTCATCTTATGGACAAAAACCACCAGTTCATTTAGTGTTCCCTTAGTGCTAATGTATAAGAGAAGTTGCTGTACTATAACTGAAGTAATCTTGTTAAGATAAGATAACCTTTATTAGTCCCACACGTGGGAAATTTGTTTTGTCACAGCAGAAAGTGGTCAGTGCAAAGTTATATACCAAAAATTTGAATACAATAAGAATAATATACTGTACACAACTGTACAGAATAGAATAGAATAAAATAGTAGAATAAAATAGAATAAAATATATATTAGGATAAAAATAGAATACAAATGTTATATACAACTGAGTAAAAATACAACTTACAAAAATACTCAGCAAAGAGTATTGCACTTAGTCTTATTGCACATGTGTGGGTTTGTGTGTGATCAGCTGCAAAAATCTTTGTTGTGGAGTCTGACAGCAGTGGGGAGGAAAGACCTGCGAAATCGCTCCATCCCACATTTAAGTCCTTAAAGTCATAATCTTTTATTGTCTTGACTGTATTTGAAGCTGTTTTTATTTTTGTATGATACCTGATTTATATGGAATATGGCTGAAGTAAACTAAAGTCTAAAATACTTAGTCATTTGTTTAATAGTAATTTAACATTATATAATTCACATATAAAACTATGAATTGTAATTTTAAATGGTTTAATAGCATGTAGAATAGCATATGTAGGCAAGTATATTTCTCCTTTTTCAACAAGAAGCAAAGACAAAAAGGAAAAAAAAAGAAACAGGGCAGAGTTCGGTGGTTGAAACACCCGTCCCCACCAATGCCAAAACCAAATCTACGCCCTTGCGTTGACAGATGGTTTTTATAATTATAATTAGCTAAGCAAGCTGGGCCAAGTGATGGTTTTTTTAACTGGTGGTTTAATTTCTTCCAGCTTGAAGGCCAGTGATATGTAGCCCAATTCGATAGATGGGTTGGTAATATTTAAGACTGGAGTATTAATCAATGGTTTGACTTTTTTAAACAGTGTTGTAGGAATGAAGTCTCAGATACACATTGATGTTTTGAAGGAATTATTAAAGTTAACTTGATAGATAATTTGTGGGGAAAGATTTAAAATAAATATCAATGGCAGCTGTAGGTAGTGATGTCTTTAAGGTGCTTATATAAAATAATCTAATGGTTACAATTTTGTTTGTGAAGACATTCATAAAGTCATTACTAGTTAATGTTAAAGTTATGCTTGGTCAACAAACCTCTCATGTTTTGTCAGCCTGGCTACAGTACTGAAAAGAAACTTAGGGTTTAAAGTATAAGAAATCTGCTATTTGTAAGGTAATAGTAACAATGTTAAAACAGCTGATTCACAGATATGAATTGTTTGGAATTCTGAGCAGTAACATATATTTACAGACACAGTTAAAAAAGGGTCATGTGAACTAGTTAAATGTATATCTTTCAAATTACAAAAGAACTATGTAAACCCAGTAAAAGATTTAAACAGCACACTCTCTCTATCTGTTTGTGGCTGTATAAACATCCTCTTATTCATGCCATACTTTGCTAATGCAATATTACTGAGAGAAAGGAAAACAAAGGACAGATCACATAACTTTACCTTCCATGGCTAAGAGATAAATAGGAGTGTCTTCAATGATGGCAGCATTACTTTGGTGTGTGATGCTACCTGAATCGCTTCTTCCTCTGCAGTGGTAGATACCTCCTTGTGACACATTA